ACACCTACTAGGTTCTAGGCATTGGGAATCCAACTGGACAAGAAGGACACATTCCTGCCTTCATGGGACCTATTCTCTAGCAGACCCACCTTGGGTGACACAAGATGGCTGAGAGACATCCAATCTTGCCACTGAACCATCATGTCGACATGCACTTGGACAAGAATGTTGCCTCTTCTACTAGGTCTCCTTTTGCTCATCTGAGCGACAACAAGGTTGGCCTTGGATGTTCTAACATCCATGCCATGCTAGGGTTCTAAGTCGGTCCCACTCAATACTATCCAGGGCAATAAAAATCATCAGAGAATCAAACCATGTCTACTCTAAAAAGGCTCTTCCTTCGCAAAGCTCCGGTCCATGCTTCCCTGAGTCTTCACCTGGGTGATTACGTATCAAGGTTCGTCCACACCAAACACGGTAATAAATCAAATCTTATCAGAATTGAACTATAAATCTGTGAAGACGTCAATAATTTCTAGCCAAGGGAATAACACCACAAAAGTACTTTTTAAACTAATTACTCGGATTCCGAAGAGCGGCCCTAATGAGCCTTCTTTCTGCCCAGAACTTACTAAGAGGAAAAAACTACCTTCTGGTGCAGTAATTACTGCTTTCCCCTTCAAACTTCTAACTGGAGATCGATGCTGCATTTTAAGACCCATTGATTTACAATTAGCCTGGCTTTCCTGCTAAAGTGTTTTTTAAGCAGAGTTTACTTTTATTTTATTTTGAAATCTCTGAGATCTGGTTCTTGGATTTTACACCCTCATGAGAGGGGACTGGAAATCTCCAAGAGGAAGATACTCATCAGAACAGAGAGGAGGAGAGGGATGTAAATCAGAATCAGGAGAGAGGGGAAGGGGAAAAGGGAACTTTGTTTGTTCACAGGATAAACGCAGAGACAGAAATTTTAAAAAAAAAAAAAAAATTTTTTTTTTAAGCCAAAACTTTTGCCGAAAGGGGAAGAAGGAATGACGAAATCCAAAGAGAGGAAGCAGAAGGCAGGGAGGTAGGGGGAGAGAGAGAGGCTCACAGTCTCACCAAGCGTGGCTGCTGCCAGGGTGGCTAGAGAAGCTCTTTATTGCCTCTGCTGTTTATTAGCATCCTTGGGAAGGAAAAAAGAGAGAGAGAGAGAGAGAGAGAGAGAAAGCTTTGTGCGTCTTTGCAAAACAAAGCACTGGTTAAAAATAGTGTGTGCAGCAGGGACAGTGTGCTAACGTGAGGGTCCTGGCAGCTCCAGCACTCGCACAATCTGTCCCATGAGGGGAGCAGGAGTAAGCGAAGCAATTAAGAATTTCATGCTGATTGCTTCGAGCATGTTTTTCTATGCCATAAAGATAATAGCATAAAGGATATGGCCTTGCTTCCCTCCCCCTCCCCTGCCTGGCAACTTCTGCCTTCTGTCTTGTAGACTCTTTCTTTTCCTCACCTCCCATGGTTGAGGACTCAAGACGCTGCTTAGCGGGTCTGGCACCGCTTGATGGAATCGGTTGCTTCCAGGCCTAAAGCACAAATCGGAGCTTGTCCTCACGGACGGTCCCTCCCCACCCCTGGCCAAGGGCAGACCCAGAAGAGGAGCCGTAAGACGAGGAGCTGTGTTACTGAAGCCCCAGAGAGACGGAAGGGCTTCAGAAACGGGGAGATCCAGGCTCTCCGAGGCCCCTCCTGCCACTCAGCCTGGGCTCCTCACTATGGCCAGCTCCCAAGAGTGACTGGAAAAAGATGGTCCTGGAAAGAGAAAGTGAAAAATAAAATCCCCCAATGACAATAAAGGGGGGAGGGGACAAAAGCCACTAACTTTTTTTTTTTTTAATGTTATTTTATAGCAAGATTGTATAGGCCAATTTCAAAGACTAACACGAAAAAAGTGCAATTAAATCCTTGAAAAACTGACAGATCAGCAAAACAAAACCACCCGGAGGAGAGCCCGATTGAGCCTCATTAAGAAGGAGTTCAGCCTGTTTTTAAAACCCTTCTTAACCCTTATCTGGGTACCTCCCAGCAGTGAGGGCTCCCAACTCGGCTGGCATAATTAGTGTCAGAATGGAAAGGGAGAAAAATCAACCAGGAAATAGAAATTAAAACACAAATTTAGGAGGGGGGCGGTGGTGTTTCAAAAGGAAAAACCATTCCAAATTCAAACAACAAACCCCCATCAGTCCAACCGGGAGCAATGGGGAGACAGCAAAATGCTCCTCCATACCCAGAGATAACTATGTTCCAATTACACAGAGAAAGGGCTGGGGCAGAGCGAGTGCCACCATCTACTTCTCCCCCTCCTCCCCAAAATATATTCCACCTTGTGGTCGCGTCAACTCTGGGAGGCTGAGTTGATGGCAGACGGGCGGCAAGCCGCACCAACCTCTACATCAATTACAACCATCACGCCTGACAATGGGGAAAATGAGATCTGGTGACAAATTTTTGCACCTTCGGCCCTCAGGATCCCCCAAAGGTGGCATGCACGCACATGTGTGAAACAGCGTGTGCGTGGGAGCGAGCGAGAGCATCGCCTGTGAAGCCACCAGCCTGTAAGGAGGAGATACGGCACAGAGATCCATTATAGGAGAGCAGGCCGCTATGGAGGGAATACTCTGGAGATGGGGAAGATGGCAGAGAGACGAAGCCGTTTTATTAAATCGGGCAAATTCTAATTTATTCTGTGGAGACAGAGGAAGAGAAAATGGATTCGCTCTCAGCATCTCCTTTGAGCTGACTCCTATCGCCTCAGCAGAGGGAGGCGGAGGAGATGAAGGTGCCGGGGTTCATGTGGAAATCAGGGGAGGTTTCCCCCTTTCAAAGTGAACATTATATCCATTTCACCTCTTGCGCCAGGAATCTGGAAAATAACGCTTACGTCGGAGAAACATGGTGGTTTTCTTTGGGCTTTCTGATTACTCCAGCAGGTGAAGGGGCTTACAAATTTGACTCCCTACAATATGAAATCAGAGAGGCGACCACGGCCGAGATAAGACACGGACACGGGCTGACAAAAGGAAAAGGAATAGTGGGACGTCTCCCCCAACGGCAAGACGCGCCCCTTGCCCGATGGTGGGAACAAAAATGGCACTTTTCAAGCTGGGAAAAAGGGGAAAGAAATGCCTTGAGCAAGAGCACCAAGCGCGGAGGTTGTCTTTCATTAACAAAAGGCACCTGTGTTGAGACTGCAATTAGAAAACCAAGGTTTTAATTAAACAATCACATAAAGCTGTTTGGCTCCCCATATGGGCCAACCTGTCACCTGTGTCTCAGGGTTAGCTGGGCAATGAGCTCCAGCTGGTGTGGAGGGAGGGCAACTGGCGATGTGGTACACATATAACTGCAAAGCTGGACGCTCTACCTGTCTGTGGCTCCCCTGCCATGTCCGAGAACTAAGAAGAAGCCAGTGAGGCTGCCGGGAGCAACGGCGCTGTGGTCAGACCATAAGCCACCAGTAACCCTGTACTGCTCGCAGCCAAACACAAGATATTATTTAAAGTGCTGTGCAAAAGCCAGGGGTGTGGCACAGGGGGCTTCCTGTGTCTCCCAATTAAAACTGCTTCTCCATCAAAGCATCGGCCAGGTACAACCAGTTTACCGAGAGCCCCTTTTAACTAAGAAGAATTCATAGGAGCTTAGACACCTGCCAGCTTCCATGGGAGGGGGGAAAAACCAACCTACTTCTTCACCTGCTGCTTTTATACCCCCTGGGCCATGGGCAGACAGGAGGTACACGAGGCTCTGACAGCCCAGACTCCCAGGAAGACAGACAGCAATGCTTCCAAAGCACAGATTCCTCTGGGACTCTCAGCCATCAACACCCTCCCTGTTCACGAGCTGTGAACTGATATGAAACTGGTTGTTCCAGGAACTGTGTTGTGTGTTGGCCTTCTGCTGGACGCTGCTGAATGAACAGCTTGGGCCACCTTCACACCCAGGTCAAATAGCTTTTGCCAGGTGCATGGGGTCCGGCTTATAGGAACAGACAGGCAGGGCGACCAGTTTTCATTCCAAGGCTCCCAAGGGCATTCCACACCTGGGACAGCCAACCTGGAGACCTCCCCACTGGTATGTGCAGGCTATGCCTCAGGCTGTGCCCCCCAGGAGCTAAGCACAGCTTTGGGCGCCCTAAGTCCACATTGCCCTAGCTTCCCAGCACGCTGGGGACACTGTTTCCAAATGCTTCGGACTATGAAAGTGGTCATGTGTCAAATGCTGAAGAATCCAAGATGGCCAGTCAGCTAACACTGACCAATGACCTCGTATGTGCCTAGCACTGAGCTATCTTCCAGAAAAGAAAATCACTGAAGAGAAAACCTTAGTAACAGAACGCCATTAGTCTGCAAAATGCTCCAACTCAGAGAATACTCAAGGCTTGCCAAATCACAGGGCAATCAATACACTCTAGGTTTCACAGACCACCAACACCATTTTGGGTTTTCAACAGGAAAGTCTTCAGACTATCTGCTCACAGAAAAATTAAAACAGCAACAACTCAACAAACTTCATTTGAGCTTTGAAAACGCAAAGGAGTCCTTCTTCCCCATCCTCAGGCTATGGCCTTGCTAAGTTTGTAGAGAACTGGGAGATTTAAGGAGGACTCAGAAGACTGTAATAACGAATTCGTTCCATGGGAGCTGAAAAACAAAGTTGCCTTCCCCACCAGAATCCTTCATCTCTCAGACAAAGAAAGGTTTCCCTTGCCCTTTCCACCACCTGATTGTGTGAACTGCCTAAGAGAGCAAGAAAAGGGACCGCAGCTTCTCAGCCTGAATGCGAGGCAGCCAGTCAGAACTAATCTCTGTGCTGGAAGTAAATTCAGTCGGTTCCATGATCTGGTCCCCAGGAGGGCTCAGGCGGCGGGGGGCAGCGGGGGGTGGGGGTGGGCTCGCCTCCCTTGGCGTCCTGCACCTCACACCCCAAAACCTAACCGGGGACCTTCTGGGCAATGTCCTTCACCACAGTCAGCCACGGGAGGAATTATGTGAGATCAGGCCCCGAGTGAAATCCAAAGCAACGAGTTTGACTTTATGACTTATTTATTTATTTCTTCCTCCACGAACAGAAGGTTAATATAAGAGCAGCTCCTTGGCAAACCTTTAAGGGTAATTCAAGCGACACTGATGTGAATCAATGTTCTCTTTGTGAACACATTACTTGGCAGAAACTGGCTTTTTGTAACCCCCTTAAACCTAGCCGGCAAAACAAAAAGAAGGGGGAAAATGTCCTTCAAACAAAAGGATGAGGTGAAAATAAAGAGGGAGTCGACTGCACTTTATTCTCTTTCATAGAAGCAAATGGATCCAGTGCTTTCATACATTAATCAATCAATATCACTGACTGTACATCAGCAGGGTAGCCAAGTTATGAATGACCTTTCTGGCAAAGAGGACACTTTTAATGCTCATAAGACTGCTCATAGCTTAGCAACTTTCCGAATTTATGCCTGCATGATTACCCCTCAGAGGCGAGTGGCCGTTAGCGCTGCACTAAATATGGCAAGGTTAGTCATTTCCAATTTGTGCAGAGGGAAGGAGAGACGTGGACGCGCTGCCCCATTTATGCACGAGCTGCCGCAACCTGGGCAAGGTAGGAGGGCAGAGGGCGCTGGGAGGCACCGTCCCTGCCCGGCTGGCAGACCGGCTTCCCCTTGGAAAGCTGGCTGAGCCTCCTGTGCCAGCTTCGGGCCAATCCAAACAGGGAAGCTGCAGAGAGCTAATCTAGAAAGCCGTGCCCGGCTCGGCCTCAGCTTCTGCCTGCTTCTCACACTCAGCTCCTGTGTCCACCGAGCTGGCAGGCGGGCCAGGCTGGCCACTGCAGGGGCTTCCCCGGGCCACCTCCGCATCCTCTCCCTGCTGGCTTCCGCCTGTGTCTGCAAGCCCTCCCCGCGTCGACTGGGCTTCTCCAACGAGGCAACACAACTGCATGTTTCCAAAAAGGGAACAGAACTTCCATCTTTCAGCTGTTTTCCTTTTTTTCAGCAATCCACAGAAGGGCATTTCTACCGAAAGGATGATGTTGACTTACTCTTTCTAGAAATAACCAGCTCAGATAAATAAACGGTTAAGCCAATTCTCTTTCTTTTCCCCTCTTACCAACTCAGCTGTTCTCTTCACGTCCAGAAGGCAGGAAAGTTCTCTGGATTCCCTTCTATGTGGGTGGAAATGGGTCAAAGGGCTGTCTGTGGGTGTGGGTTTCTGCAACAACCATGATCGTCTCAGTGAGGCCAAAGGGAGGCAAGGCACAAAATCCTACTTGTCATTGCCCCTCAGCTTTCTCCCCAGCTTCCCTATGGTCAAAATCTCTGGAAATCTGTTGGTTCATACACAAGACCTTACTTATTTCTGCCTGACATAGACATAGAGGGAGAAAAAAGACATCCGGGAACTTAGAATACAGCTTTAAATTCCTCCAAGTTACAACAGAAAAAAACAAAGGCTCAAGCTCAACTTTAGGCAGAGTTCTGGGCGGCAACGAGTTTTGCCAACAGCATTCCTCCGTCTACAGAGTTGCCCAGCAGGGCACCAGTTAGACAAAATGTTAACAGTTTGGTTGTAGCCACTTCTGGTTATGAACGTAAGGATACACCTGTCTGGCCGATCCCGGTTCATATTCCCGAAGCCAGGGGAGTCTGTTTAGGGAGGAGCCTACTCCAACAACATTCTCCAAAGCAGCTGTGCTGCCGGGCCATGAGATCCCAAGGCCGGTTTCCAGAAATAGGTGATAAGCAAAAACAGGGAGAAGAGGGGCTTTTTTTTTTTTTGGTTGGTTTTTTTTTAGGGAGAGAGAGAGAGAGAGAGAGAGAGAGAGAGACTCCTCATGCAGGTTCTATGCTCTGCACAGAGCCCATTGTGGGACTTGATCCCACAACCCTGGGATCATGACCTGAGCTGAAATCAAAAATGAGATGCTCAACTAACTCACCTCCAAGAAGAGCTTGTTTTAAAGGCCATGACTTGGGTGTCTCTGAAGGGGTGGAGAGTTCCTACCTGGGTGCCTCTTGGGGTGATGGATGTCTGTGGCCCCATGCATGGCTGGGAGGCAACACTCCCCGGCAGCTGCAGCCCTGCACTGCCTTCTCTCTGGACCAGATCCTTCCTCCCAGGGGGTCAAGCTCAAATACAGAACACTGCTCTCGTTCCCACTGTTTTCAATACATTCAGATTCCCCCATCCAGGAAAACTCCTTTCTGTTTAGAGCAGGGAGGGAAACATAGAGCCCGTTCTAGTGGGTCGCCCCTGAAGGAGCGGGTGCAGGATAGTGCACAGACACCCCTTTCCTGTTCCATCAGGAATCATTTTGAATGTCTCCATTTTCCCATGGGAAGCTGCTGATCCACATGTTTATCAGCTATTAAAAAAAAAAAAAAACTTGCTGGGGCGCCTGGGTGGCGCAGTCGGTTAAGCATCCGACTTCAGCCGGGTCACGATCTCGCGGTCCGGGAGTTCGAGCCCCGCGTCAGGCTCTGGGCTGATGGCTCAGAGCCTGGAGCCTGTTTCTGATTCTGTGTCTCCCTCTCTCTCTGCCCCTCCCCCATTCATGCTCTGTCTCTCTCTGTCCCAAGAAATAAATAAACGTTGAAAAAAATAAATAAATAAATAAAAATTTAAAAAAAAACTTGCAAAGTACACTTTTCGCTTCATCATTTAACAAATATCTGTCTCTCTGCCTCCTTCATAATTTACAAACTCCTGGATCACCTTTGGAGCTGCTACCCCGTGTTCCTCCCTCCCTTTCACTTTTTCAGAGAGAATTTTCTTTCAAAATGCAGGGCAAGGATTTGGCTAAACCTTCAACCACCCTTTCTCTCCAGATCTTTACCCGAGCCTGGCTGTTCCCCTACCGCCTCTCAAAAGTTCACCCCTTGTCTAATGTCTTAAGATCATGAATTTTATTTTTTGCATGAAATTGGCTTTACGGGCTCTCAGAGTTCCCCCAAGTTACAAACACTACTTTCTCCACTTTTCTTCACCTTGTTGTCCTCCCTGGCCTATGGCAACTAGTCCGCTTCTGCCTTTCTCTCGTACCTTCCCTTCTGCCAACCCACCAGCTGTCCAGCTGGCAGACGTGGGACACTCTTCGCTCTGTATGTCTACACTGCTCTTCTGGAAGCACCCTGGTACCTAAGATGCCCTGCAGCCACAGGGCTGTCTTGTTGCAGGTGTCGTACAGCACGCCCCCCTTCTGTATATTTAAGTCTCTCTATAAAGAATAACATCAGCCAAGATAAAGGGGCTCTAGATCTTTCCTCTAAGCATTTCATGGAAACTCTCACATCAGTAACGGCACAGAGTAAACCGAATCCCCAGGATGAGGGCGGACACCCTATTCTGGGTGAGCTCAAGCACTGCCACGTGGGCATCCCTGAGGCCCCCGATGCAAGAACAGGTCGTTCCCTGGATCTCAGACCAGTCCTCAAAATCTGTAAAAAGACAGAACTTTCCCCACTCACGCATACGTCTCACTACACCAGTGAATCCCTTACACCCTCAGGAATTCCAGTCCCAGGAGAGCAGGAGGACAATCCAGGCCTACGGCAGCTCCAGATGTTTGCTGCAAACCAGAGTCCAGGACTGGAAGAAAACTCTCTCTGAAAAAGTGAAATCGCCAAGATGCAAAAGATACAGGAATGTGAAAGTCCTTTATGATTTAAAGATTTCACACAGGAATAGAGGGATCTATTTTCTGACTCAGTTTCTGTGTCTTCACCTCCTGAGAGAGAAACCTCTACGCAGACAAGGTGTAAACTGTGCTTCCCACAGGTGAATCCAACCTTGTCAGGCCACTCCTCCTCTCAGAGCATCCAACCCCCCAACCCTGGGCCTGCTGACAGAGGTAGGTCTAGTGAACTGTGCTACCTGCCTCCTCTTCCCCAGGACATGCCAGCTACACCGGCCTTCCTCCTGCCCCAGGCCCCTTGCACCAGCGAGGCCCTCAGTCTGCCACCCCATGCTCACCACCACGTCTGCACGGCTCTGAAGATGCCTGGCACAGAGGAAGCTGCATTAAATACACACTAGAAAATATACAGGCATACGTACAGACACAACCGCATCATTATTTAGTAGCAACTCAAATTCCTATTGTATTTGTTTGCAGTGTGCTTGAAAGCAGTTGTGAAGGTGTGCTTACCCCCTGTCTTAGGAAGATGCAAAGTATTCCTGTGCCACTCCAATAGTTTAAACATTAGATCTTGGAAATGGGTTGTCACGTATCAAAAGACACGTACTTAAAACTTTGAAAGCTTCCGAACTTTGAAGTGCCGAATCATGTGGGTAGCAAGGCATTTACCTCTCAGGTGGCCCGTGTTCCCTTGACCCTCTCTTCTTGGCCAACAATTGCTCCTAAGTCACACTGACGGTGCACATTAGGGCTACCAAACCCCAGTTCCAACACCTGTGGTCTAAGTCAGCATCCGTACCAAGAATGAAAGCCATCAATCATCCACACGGCAACAAGCTATTTGGAAACATCCAGCTAGAGTTTGAAGATGGAGCCTACGGGGACCCAGTGGAAGTGGTGTTCAGTTTGTGGGCCGTGATGATGTTCCCTGAAGAATGACAGTCTCCGGAATCATGGCGGATGTGAATGACAATGGTGGGAGGTGGGGGGGTGTCGGTGTATTCCCAGCTGGGAGAGTCTGAGCAGGCATCAGGTGAGGCCAACATTTGTCTGCCTATCAGATTATTTTAAAAAGTGGATTCTGCATTCTTTCCTACCCTCAGGCCAGTGAAAGCCAGCTGAACGACCTTAATCAACTATATTAAATAGCAAATGGAACATTAGCATAAGAACCTAAAAGTTTTTACATTTTCAAAATGAACCCATGACTTGAAGGCCTCCTACCACCAGGTATTCTCAGGTGACTACCTGTATCCAAGCAGGGCTGGAATCGAATGACAAGACCGACGACCGGGCCATGGACCAGGCAGGCCAAAAGGCGAAGAGGCCAAGGGGAAGAAGGCATTTGTGGCAGAATCTCACTGAGGTCCTATCGCTGTAATCCAGGTGGGTGCTCACCTCACAAACAAGCACACTAGGTCCTGAGTTAGGCCATGGGTGCTTCAGATAAGCCTTCCCCTTGAAGGTGGCTCCATTCCGGGTCATGTCAGCCACCTGGGCTGTGACAAACCTTTGTGAGCACTGCTGCATTGATTGCTCTCTAATGAGTGTTAAAAATGACCTCAGGCCTTGCCCCCACCCAATGTGCCGAGGGCAGGAGCCAAGACCCAGAGTCTATAGGATGGGGTACAAGGAACAGCGAGAGAGGCAGGCTTTTCGATGCTGAGATGGAAGGGGCCTCTCACTGCCTCTGACTGGCCAAGGAGGCAGGTCACCACTGTGATCAGGGTTACCTCCGACCCACAACAAAGTCTTCCACCAACAGGGCTGGCTCTTCCCAAATCCACCACTGATGAAGGCCCTGATATGTGCCGGAAAGGCCCTCTGTGGAGCTGTGTGGCTGTGGGCCAAGGACATGCTTGTTTGAAGCCTGAAAGCTGGAGTGCGGCTTCCCTTGCCCTCAAGGATAGAGGAAATGCCACCTTGAAGATTCTGCAAAACCCCAGGGCGGCCATGAGTGGGAGAGGCAGACCCAGGGCTTCCCCAAGCACAACCAACATGAGACCCCTCCCACAGGAAGGAAATGGGTGTACTGAAACTTCAGACCAGAAAGATAATGCGATGCTTCCGGCCATGAGAAACCCAAAGTGGCGAGAGGGGAAAAAAAGGAACAAAGAAATCATTGTGGACAGATAAAATGAAAATCTGGCAGGGCTCTGTCCTAACAAATGATCCAAAAGTGAACTAAGACTAACTTTTCTCCCTTGGCAAATGTACTGTAAGTCAAGGCACAGTGCCTGGAAGAGAGAGAACCGAAGAGGGAAAGAAATGGAAGAAGAGAGACCAAGGTTCAGAAAGAATGTGCCAGGTGTCATGCTAACGTACATTCTCTCACTTAACTGCCACAGGAGAATTAATGAGACAGACCTCCAAGATGTGCACGGCCATCTCCTTCCACAGATGTAAGATCTAATACTTTAGAGGTGTGCAGTTGGGATCCTGAAGTAAACATGCAAAATCTGTCATATGTATGCATTTTTTTCTCGGGTGAAGGATCATTTCATTCATCAGGTTACCTGAAAAGGTCATGAATCTCGGGGTTATGTAACTTGACCAAGGTCAGCCAGTTCAGAAAGGCTGGGATCTAATTTCTCATGTAACTTTTTTAATAATGTTTATTTATTTATAAACATTATTTATTGAGAGAGAGAGAGAGAGAGAGAGAGAAAGAGAGAGAGAGAGAGAGAGAACGTGCACAAGCAGGCGAGAGGCAGAGACAGGGAGACACAGAATCTGAGGCAGGCTCCAGGCTATGAGCTGTCAGCACAGATCCCAACACGGGGCTCAAACCCACAAACCATGAGATCAAGATTTGAGCTGAAGTTGGATGCTTAACCAACTGAGCCACCCAGGTGCCCCTAAATTCCCATGTAACTTTTAAAAAGCTCAGGGTGCCTGGGTGGCTCAGTTGGTTGTGCGTCCAACTCTTGATTTCGGCTCAGGTCATGATCCCAGGGTCATGGGATTGAGCCCCACATTGGGCTTTACACCGAGTATGGAGCCTACTTAAGATTCTCTCTGTCTCTTCTCTCCCCCCCCACCCCCGACCACCCCTCACCCCTGCTTGTGTGCTCTCTCTCTAAAAGAAAAAAAATTAAAACAAATAAATAAAAGCTCTTGCAAACAGGACTGATC